TAATCTATAATATATCCTAGACAGATAGAACCGTTTTTCCTATACAATGATATAATATCATTAGATTCAAATTTAATCCCATCCATTACAGTAATCCACTTGTAATCTACTGTTCAGCWGAGCGATATCTACTTTCCCGCTTTTTAAAGATTTCTATGCTATCACTAATAAAATATTTTTAAGTTCTAACCAGATTAAAACACCTAGTAGATTAGCTTAGGTTAGGTACACAATACACATAATACAAATTAGATGTGGATCACTGCAATCTCTAAATTACAATGGATATCATACTGGAACTAGAAATTAAGTATGTAAATAAACGTTAAATTGTATATTTATGTATTATGTAGAACTTGATTTATAAAAATCTYAATGTATTATACTTAATAGATTTAAATTAACTAAATAAATATTATCAGTTGTTATGCTATATTTAAATAAAAAGCGATGTATGTAACTAACGAAATTGATAATTAGTATTGAAAATGTTGTAATTTACACAGTTACACGCTAAGTCCAAAAATTACCTACTATAATGGTAGTATCGATAATTGTATCATATCAGTTTTCGATTATCCAAGTTTATAAAATTGTATTATATTTATCATTATTATTGTTAATTTAAAAAAACATGATTTTGTATAATTTACTACGACCATACCTTTATATAATAACTTTAAATAAAACAGGTGTTGTGATAGACAATAATATTATAATATCAAACGTTAATGAAAGACATTCAAATACCTTCTAAACAGAATATAGGCAACAAAAACTACATTTTTTCATGCGCTTACAAAACATGTAAGGTTAAGAATAATGTTGATAGTAATTATTGTGAATTACAATAATCATTGGCGTAATTAGTGAGGGAAGCGAAGGAGTGTTTAGCATCCCTTATTTTTCTGGTCTATGTCTAACTATTATTATTATAGTGAAATACCGTCAATTGAATGTTATAAAATATTTGCTGAAAAAAAAATTTTAAAAATTTTGTACGTGGTCCTGTAATCTGTGGACGATTAACATTGCGAAGAAATGGATTATACTTACTAGCAACTTTTAGTCAATATAGGTTCTTTAAAAAATAGTAGTATAATACCTATATATRTACGCTGTGATAGACTGTGTGGATTATTTAGTCTGGCAAGCCCTCATAAGTCTTACATTAATAATTATTAACGTTTTATCGTTCAAATTTTAATATATTACTAACGAAAAGTATATYATATATTAATTATATATACTACAAATTTAATTTTACCATTTATATGAAGTGTGTTAAAATGTGTATAAAACGTTTTAAAGTACCGATAATTGTAGCTTACTATAACTTATAAGATGATGTAATTTTTGTAGTAATCAATGAGTGATGTGGGATCTAAGCTCGTGGAGGCAGTCTATGTWAGGCATATTTATAAGTATTAAGTATACTGAATGTCTGTATACCTAGCACACCACAATTAAGAGGTTTAGTTGTGCCATATAGTAATAACTCTAAGAGTTGCGCATACAACTTGATCATAATTAGTTAGATTATTTGTTAATTGTTCAACTTCTGTGTTAGATGTCTGAATATTGCCTATTGATGAATGATAATGTAAACAAAAATAGATAAGTATTAGTGTATTACTATATTAGCTTTTGCGTATATTATGCCACTGAATTCTGATAATAATACATTTTAATATTTTAATATTTTCTTAATTAATAATTGAACATTGTTTATACATTATTTATAAGTGGAATGGAATTCTTCACTATTGGTTTCTTATTTTCAATAATATYTTAAACACATTAAACATTTTTCTGTGATTGTTTTAAGTTACGAAAAGTATAACTAGTTACTTAGTACTTTAATAAGTCTTGACAACATTCGTTTTTTGAGAAGTAGATAGRTGCACGCATACAGTAGTACTGTTGAGACTTATCTAGATAAATTTATCTAGATATTTCATCTAGAWAWTATTTATTTATATTTTATCTTATCTAGATGAAAATGTGGATAGGTATCTAAGGATTATTTAAGATAAAAAAATCGTTATCTTTTTAGTAATTATCTAGATAATATAAG